AATTGAACGAGGAATTTTAATTTGTGATATCTCAGTGGCGTACCATTTTTTTTCTTTAAAAAAATTGAGATTATTACCCGTACGCGCGCCAATGCTGAACATAAAATTCTTAATTGCATGTCAAAAAATGCGTAATAACTATCTCTTAAAACCCACCAAATTTCATTTGCACATCTCGACCGGTTTCAGAGCAATAAATTAAACAGTCAGTTTTTAAGAAAAACTTTGACACCCCATATCTCGGAAAACGAATCATTTGCGGACATACGTTTATAAGCAAACTGCCATTATTTTCTCATGTAGAATCACCCCCTGAAATTTGTCGCACTTATTTAATAACACCCTGTATATACAATAATGACTCTAAAGCCGAAAGTCAGGAGAGCAAAACTTTTTTTTCTATAAGGTGTTATACATTCATCGGCATCTGAAACTCGAAACTTTGCCAAATTTGTTCGAAGCTTTGCTGACACTTGAACTTTGGTACACACATAGTGTAAATATGCAGAAATCAATAGCAATTTGCAAAATTCAAGTATCTTCATTTTTGCAGTTTTGCGAGGGTTTTATACGTCACCCTAGTTTTATACGTCACCGTTTTTTAATTTTTGGACGTATATTTATGTATATTTATAAAATATTCCAATACGGTAGATTAGCCAGCACAATTACCTACAATTTAAAAACAAAAATATTTTCATCATTTAGATCCTAAGCTAATTAACATTTTGCGCCTATTAGCCATACTCGTACATTATTCAACACATCAACATACAACAAAAACGTACGTGTGGGGTAAACCTTTAACTTTAAGTAAACAATTGTTTAAATTTACTGTTGCATATTTCTAATAGTATACAAGCGCCGAAGAGCGGAGCTCGCGCTCGAAAGTGAAAAGTTAAAGGTTTACCCCACACGTACGATTTTGTTTTATGTTAANTTGAATTTCTCGCTTGCATAAATAACTTTAAACACGTTTTAAAGTAGGTTGCCAATGAAGAAAAGTATTGTAATCTTAGACCTGGTAAGTACTCGGAATACCAAAGGTATTTTTCGAAAAATTAGCCCGGATGTCCCAGTACATTTAGTGTAAATGACGGTTAACTTTGATCGGCTATAACTACGTAACTAACCAATCAATCTGGTTTTTTTTTTAAAGAAGCGTCTTTCCAAGAACTCTTAAAACCTGCTTTAAAAAATTTGATTTGATTGAAGTTATTCTAATTGTTTACAAGTACTAAAATTCGACCAATGTTTAAACAAGCGCCTCTCCTAATTGACGAATTCGAATAAAAAAAGTTTGAAAGCTTGAGAGCCCTTCTATATTTGATTAAATTTTCAAGTATCTAAGGGCATTGGTCTTTGCTGTGTAAAATTTTGAAAATTTGCAATTTTTTTTCAAAATCTGGATTGCAAAATTATTATGCAAAATCTATAGAACTGATTTTGATGAAATTTGGTATGATGATTCTACATAACATGAAGTTTTCTTGAGCCAAGTATAAAGGTCCTTTACCCAATTTAAATACCCCAAAAAAATTCCCTAAAAAGTATTGTCTTTTAACCGCATTTTTGCGATTTTTTCGATTTTTACCATAATAATCATGATCCATTCGACTTGTAACTAGCCATGTTTTGTAAAAAATTTGATTACAGACATTGTTTTCCTCTTCCATTTTCGCCTAAAGTCAACTCTTGAAAAGGTATATAATTAAATAGGAAGAAAAATATGACATTTTTCGATTTTTTTTAACATATTGTGCCACCAAAAGTTAAGCCAACGCTTTTTTTATGCGCATAGAAAAATTTTCATTCCTAGTGATATTTGAAAGCCAAAAAGCCAAAAATCTCCGTGGATATACGATTCACCCAAATATGGCTTTTTGAAATAGATACCGTCTGGACTATAGTAGATTCTCCACATTGGATATGTATATTGTAAGGTCCATGATAAAAGTTGGATTTACTTTGTGGGCCGAGAGTATGATAATTTCTTCATTTTATTCAGTTCTGAGATTTCTTTTGTAGACATATTCAGTTTAGGAGGTTTAACAGTTCGTAATACATGTGCTGCCCCATGCCTATTTCTTCCACGACTTGTTAGGAGAATTATTATTAGTAAATATGAATACTTAATACCTTCTAGGTATATTAATAACGGCATTTAAAACTTGTACGGCGGGATCACTTGAAAACTATATCAAACAGGTCAAAATCAAATACTTAATATATCAAAAAGTATTCGACAGTAACATAAAATTGACATATTTAGATTTTTATAGACCTATATTATACTTGAACATTTATATGTTTTTTTTACGTTTATAACTAACTAATAGTCCAGTTGGTAGAGGTTCAGGCTGTGTCAAACCTTGATAACCCGGAAATAACTACACAGGCCTACTTTAAATGATGAATACAATAACAGGCTAAGGACCCCGCACTAATCTTATGGATTTTGGCCCCCGGTGAATTTCTCTGTAATTTTGGGAAAAGATAGGTTTCGACCTACTGATCAAATATCTCCATCTCCAAAAATCACTCCTATGAGCCCTACCGGGGGATTTTAGCCCAATAATGATGGGGCGCGAGGAGATGACACATCGCTCAAGAAACCAGTTCCGTCGCCGGGGAGAAGGCTGAAAATGGATTTTTGGGGCTAACATTGTCCTCTCTTTCATATTCTGGGATCAGTTCATGGCTGCTGACCTCCTAAATACCCGAAAATGGAGTGCGAAAGGGGTAAAAACGTGAATAAGACATACTATAAAAACAAATGCGGACCTCGCAAGTTGCGCCTGAAAGTTGACTATATTCTATATTGTATATTTGAGATTCCGAAACTCCCGTTGGACTATATAATAATATGAAATCCACAATGTTGTCAACTTTCAGGCGCAACTTGCGAGGTCCGCATTCGTTTTTATAGTGTCTTATTATTTACGTTTAACCCCTTTCGCACTCCATTTTCGGGTATTTAGAAGGTCAGCAGCCATGAACTGATCCTAGAATATGAAAGAGAGGACAATTTTAGCCCCAAAAATCCATTTTCAGCCTTCTCTCCGACGACGGAACTGGTTTCTTGAGCGATGTGTCATCTCCTCGCGCCCCATCATTTTTGGGCTAAAATCCCCCGGTAGGGCCCATAGGAGTGATTTTTGGGCTTTGTGCCCACGAAGATATTTGATCAGTAGGTCGAAACCTATCTTTTCCCAAAGTTACAGAGAAATTCACCGGGGGCCAAAATCCAAAAGATTAGTGCGGGGTCCAGCTGACAAAGTATTTTATCAGGAGAAAAGTTATTAATAATTTAATCGTGAAAAAAATTTTTTTCTTGTAGTTTTCTTTAAATAACTCAGCGGGATGACTTTGTACGAAAAAATGCTTAGTGCATGATTTTGTTCGTAATAAAAATAGCTACAAAATGGCGGTGGTCCGATTACGAAATTTGCAATAACAAAGCCGTGAGATTGAAAGAACGGTATAAAACGTCAATTTTTTAAAGTTGCTGTAAAAATGTCAATTATAAACAAAAAGTGATAAAACTTTCGAAAACTATAGTTCAATATATATACAATAATGACGCTAAAGCCGAAAATCAGGAGAGCAAAACTTTTTGTTCTATAAGGTGTTATACATTCATCGGCATCTGAAACTCGAAACTTTGCCAAATTTGTTCGAAGCTTTGCTGACACTTGAAATTTGGTACACACATAGTGTAAATATGCAGAAACCAAAAGCAATTTGCAAAATTCAAGTATCTTCATTTTTGCAGTTTTGGTAAGGTTTTATACGTCACCCTAGTTTTATACGTCACCGTTTTTTTAATTTTTGGACGTATATTTATGTATATTTATAAAATATTCCATTACGGTAGATTAGCCAGCATAATTACCTACAATTTAAAAAAATATATATTTTCATCGTTTAGATCCTAAGCTACTTAACATTTTGCGCCTGTTAGCCGTAGTCGTACATTATTCAACATATTAACATAAAACAAAATCGTACGTGTGGGGTAAACCTTTAACTTTAAGTAAACAATTGTTTAAATTTACTGTTGCATATTTCTAATAGTATACAAGCGCCGAAGAGCGGAGCTCGCGCTCGAAAGTGAAAAGTTAAAGGTTTACCCCACACGTACGATTTTGTTTTATATTGATATGTTGAATAATGTACGACTACGGCTAACAGGCGCAAAATGTTAAGTAGCTTAGGATCTAAACGATGAAAATTTATTTGTTTTTTTAATTGTAGGTAGTTGTGCTGGTTAATCTACCGTGATAGAATATTTTATAAATATACATATATATTTTTCCAAAAATTAAAAAAACGGTGACGTATAAAACCTTACTTTGCTTCAAAGCTTCAAAAATGAAGATAATTGAATATTGCAAATTGCTTTTTGGTTTCTGCATATTTACACTATGTGTATACCAAATTTCAAGTGTCAGCAAAACTTCAAACAAATTTGGCAAAGTTTCGAGTTTCAGATGCCTATGGATGTATAAAACCTTATAGAACAAAAAGTTTTGCTCTCCTGATTTTCGGCTTTAGCGTCATTATTGTATATATATTGAGCTATAGTTTTCAAAAGGTTTATCACTTTTTGTTTATAATTGACATTTTTACAGGAACTTTAAAAAATTGACGTTTTATACCGTTTTTTCAATCTCACGGCTTTATTATTACAAATTTCATAATCGGACCACCGCCATTTTCTAACTATTTTTATTACGAACTAAATCATGTCTAAGCATTTTTTCGTACAAAGTCATCCCGCGAAGTTATTTAACGAAAACTACTAAAAAAAATTATTCACGAGTAAATTGTTAATAACTTTTTTCCTGATATAATATTTTGTCAGCAAATTAGCCTGTTATTGTACTCATCATTTAAAGTATTTCTGTGTAGTTATTTCCGAGTTATCAAGAAAATGTCACCAACAGTAACATTTCGGCCTCTGCCGACTGGACTATAAGCTGATGTGTGATTTTCAGAATAAACTGGTCCACAGATCCGACATACCATCAAGTGTTCGGGAGCCACGCTCATTAGTGGTAACGCCTATAGTTGACATAAGGAACAAACAATGTGCGGACGCATTTGTTTATATAGCGGATTGCCAGACGTACTCAATCATTGTGCACGATGTAAAAACCGGTGCTTTCTGGCAAGCAACGGATAAGACGATGTACCCTTATCCTACTTACGGAACATTCAACATAAAAGGTACGTATCATATTACTTGTATACAGAACGTTACATTTCCAATATACCAAACTAAACCAAGTTATAAATAAGATTTCCCATGTAACGAGACCTTTAAAATTAGATGGACCCGAGAGGGGGCCTTGACTTTAAGTTCCAAGAAAAAAGCAGAAACCACTAGAAAATTAACACACCTTTAAAATAAAGGGAAAATAGAAACATGGGACCGAAAATACTTCGTTTCCGAAATGCAGGGTGTTAAAGTGTTTTCTCATCCATGCAGATATCTTTAAAGATGTTTGATACAGATTTATTAAACTTCTTCTTCTTCTTCTTCTTTACACTATATTGAATTTGCAACAAAAACAAATCTATAAACTTTTTTTGTAGCATGAACAGTTTAGTAATTCTTTTTGACTTATTTTCCTATACGGAAAGTTAGAATAAAAAAATATTAATTAGGTAATTACTGGTTTTTCAAATAAAATGGAAGAGATATTTTCCTTTGAAGTGTAGTTTCGAATTACATCGATTGATTTGGATATCTAAAATATTTACTGGCGTCGAAATTCTGGGGTTATCAGTAACGATGTATACCAATAGGTACCACCACCACTGAAAACCGCTTTTTGTATATCACTTTTCACCTTTTAGCGTTTTCACCTGCTGGTGATTTTGGCGCATTTGAGTGGATCTAGGTGTTTCTGAGGTCTATCGTCCTCAGAAACAGGGATGGAGGAGAACCAGTAGGTGGAATAGATCAGATGCGTGTAACCCATTTTGAGGTTGGTTCTGAGCAATTGGGGTGCGGATGGTGCTACAATATATTCGTGGGCATTACCTCCCTTGAAAATGAGTGACGAAGTAGATGCGGCCGGTGGAGTAGATAAATGCATTTAACCCCTCATCGGGACAGTTTTTGGCCGGTTTGGGGAGGTTTTACCTTCCTTGCAGATGGGTAACATCGCTATCCGCATTGTGTTTTTACTCCATCAACACATGTGTCTGAAATGCTAAAGAAAAGAGTAAAAATGGATAAAAACAGAACAACCAACCATCTGCTGTTTTTTTTTATCGGAACTTTATTTCAGAGGTCAAAAATAACTCGTATTCATAGTTATTTTTAATTTTGACTGAGAACAGAAGACCCAGCTAGGCCTGCGAGTGACTTATCATGAGCAAAAAATCGTGAGCAACAATATTTCAAGCACAAGTGGACATATTGACATAAAATATTAACCCTTCACTGCATAATTCTTTTTTTTGCATTAAAAAAAATTGTAGAGCTTTAAAATCCAACACGGATATAGGAAAAATGGGAGAATATGCATCGTATTCGTTTGTTATTTCAAAAAGCCCAGGGATCAACTCCATCTTTACGCAAATCCTTTAGTGGAACAACCTGTGCTGGTTCCTTCTTGTTTTTTAATTGCAAATGGAGAAACTTTATCTTTTCATAATTATCTATTAGCAGTCATAATATTTTTTATTTTTTCAGAAGCAATTATGACCAATAATCTCTTGTATTAGGTTACAAGTGACGTACACGTACATCGTGATACCCTGAAACTGTTTTACATTATTTATTGTTAGATTCAAAGGTTTATTTGGATTTTATTTTTGGATTACACAGAAATTAGATTCTACAATCATGTTGAAAGTAGCAGTTGTTATAGCTGTTTTACATTGACAATTTATTTATCAATTATTTCGCTTCATCAAGAAATTGGGCAAGTGTAATGCACCAAATCTGCTGTCAAATAACTTCATAAATTTATTCATCAAGTTCTTGACGAATTAGAGCATGTTCTAATTTTCGTCAATTTCTTCGTGGAGTTCGGAAGTACCAACCCAACAGATTTCCAGCCTCAGATCAGTAATGAGGTTATGTTATTGGAATATGTAAATAATTGTGTGGCGTCGTGCTAGTTTTGCATTGTTTTTACTGATTTGTTACTTACAAAAACTAATATTTATATAATATGTGTCAGAACGGTACCCCTGTTGTATCACTACAATTATGAGTGGCAAGGTGACATTTTTGAAATTTATTTGCTTCTTGGATTCATTGGTAGAACTGATGCATACGTCAAAAAACTTGACAAAATCTGTAGCAGTGTAAAACCACACTGTTTACCAATAAATTCGTGAATTAATTCATGAAGAACTTCGTCAATTTATTCATCGATAAATTGTCAATGTAAAACAGCTATTAGAAATAAAGTAAAGAACGCATAAGGACTTTCTAGAGCTAAAATGTGATCTAGTAACTGTCACCATGTGATATCTGAACAGAATATTTCATTTAGAATCAATTATTATACATTCAGAATGTATCTACCTTTGCCTCTCTTAATCAGATATAGTATCAGTAACAATTCGTGTGGTATCAGCAAAATCAGTTCCCTCATTTATGTCAATATTTTCAATATCGAAACAGTTTTCAACAGGAACACAATCGGGTTCGATTACCCATCCTTACTTTCGGAAAGATTATTCAAAATATTCTCCATTTTTGTATCGGATAAAGGGTTGTTTTTGCACCAATACTTCATTTTATTCATTTAAAAATATAAAACCTAATTATAATTGCATACAGCGCCTTACTATAAAAACGAAATATTTTATTATTACACCAATGTAAAAAAAAACTTTGCTTATCTGACAACTGCCCGTAAAATATTTATATAGCCTCAATTCAAATAGATTTTGAAAAAACAATTGCCGTAAACCAAAGGAATATAAACACACTGGCGACTATTAAATCAACGACATTTCCTCAACCTGTATCGCCATCTATCCATTTACAGACGAATTATATTCTTCATTAGTATGTTGTTGAACGACAACATAACACAGAATATGCCCTAATACCTAATGTATTCATAGGTGTCACATTGAATGACTCGTACTTTGTTGTTCTAATAACATGATGCAGTGAAGGTTTAACAACATCGCGAGTAAGCGTGTCTCCGTATTGTGTTTGTGAGCAATTCTTCGCGAGATAAAAACCTCTCATATACAGGGTGACCGGAAATGATGAGCAAAAAATTCAGGGGATAATTCTAGACCGAAAATAAATGCTACCTCTTTCTATAACATTTTTTCCAAAACTGATTATTAACGGAGTTAAGTTAAATTTTATTTGCAGTTTTTTTGCAATACCTTTTGCCACACTCATAATATTTTGACGAAATTTCGTATATGGGGGTTTTTCGGGATGAGAATTATAAATTTTCCTACCGTTTTTTCGCATGTTGTAGAGGGCGCCACATACGAGCCTTTATTTTGATTTGAATGGTTCCAACTTTTTTGTGCTACATTTTATGCGACTTTTGACTGAATATTTTTGTTCTCTTAACGTTTTGACATAAAAAAGTTATACTTTATTTGTTTCGATAAATCTAACCGTTTTCGAGAAAAACGCTAAAATAACATTGCTTGCATGTGATGAATACGAAATCATTTTAATTTATTTTCTACATTAAACATAGCATGCCTTGGAAACAAGTTTGTGTAGAATTAGTTGTGACAGATAGTATTTTTGTACAAGTTCTTTTGTAGTAATTTTTATCATAAAAATAGTAATAAAAATGAACAACAATTACTTTAACGTGGAGTTGCGGGACATGCATTATTATTACGGTTTAGCTGCTGGCAATGCTCTTGTAGCACGACGTTTGTATCGCGAAGCATTTCCAAATAGAAATCTACCCCACGTTATACATATACGTATAACAGAAATAAATGGTTTGTGTTAATATGGCCACTTTAACTTGATTTAAAGTGTTTGAAATATTGTTCTATCTCTATTTTGTTCGCTCGCGACATATCGCTCGAAAGCTGAACTCTATATAAAATGGTTATATGCGTAAAATTTTAAGCCAATCTGTTATGAATTTAATGGAATTTATACAGCGTCATTAGGTTTTGAAAATTTTATCTTAAAAAGTAAATGATTAATTACGTTTTAGCAAAAAAAATATATAGCGACTATTTTATTTCATTGTAGGCGATAGCTTTGACCTTATGGATGGCGTATTGGGAATGAGCTTAGAACAGTACAATCCTTCAGGAGACAGAAGACTATTTTACCATGCTTTGTCTAGTCCTACAGAAAACTACATTTATACCTCGCACCTCAGAAACCAAAGTCTATTTATGCATGATCCGACATCGTCACCTCACCTATTTTATGTAAGTAATAAGATCATTAATACCATTTAACTCCATTAAGGATGGAAACTGATGCATTTCTGGTTGCCTAAAATATACCGAAAAATGGTAGAAAACAGCCCTTTTTTTATTCCAATATATCTTTTTAAAGCAATGGAAGAAAGTAGTAAAATTTCATATCACATTTGGCAAAGTATAAATAAAGACAGTAAAGCAAAAATTAATTGGGATAGGTAAGTAATTCGTGAGAAATTAATTACTAAATATGAAGGTTTTTTGGACGTTTACAAAGAAATGATTATTTCTTCATAGTATTATAGAATTATGCAATTTTTTATATAGTTGTCTTTAAATAAATAAACTGATTAGACTTTATTTCATAGTTTGTTCATCACTTTATTATTTAAAAAGTTATATTGGAATAAAATTATTAAAAAGTATTCATTCGTGAATAGCATTATCTCCGACCTTTAATTCGCTTGATTTGTAATAGATGTCGCACTAGTAAAAATTTATTTATGAATGGACTCGGGTTATTTTTAACGAACAGCTGTTGTATGTGGTTAATTTGGTATAACCTGATTCTGAATTGGTAGTCATGGTTTCTGTTAATTGATACGTAAATATTTAAAGAATGTCATGACCATTTTAGATATATTATTGTATAAAAGTATATAAGTAACAGTGCAAGTCCATACTATTATATAATTTTAGAAAATATGAAATATAAACAATTTTTAGTTTATTTAAAACCATAATTTATAATTAATATACCTGTATTAGTATCTATGGTTAGTGGATAAGAGGGAAAACATTTTTATTTTCTATACTACTAGAAAAACTAATTCGTGACAAAAAATATTTTGCTTTTTAATTGAATATGTTTGTCATGAAAAACTGTAATTTATATACAGGGTGATCAGAAATTTAACAAAATTAATAACGTTGAAGAATAAACTGCTTTTGTTTTTGATAATATAAAAAAATGTTAATAAGAAAAGTTGTTCATAACGGAAAGTTATGTTATAATTACGATTTGTGAATAAAGCGGCTTACTTTGGTATAAACAGAAATGGAGAATATTATATTTTTAATAATTAATATTAAATAACTCTTGATAAAAAAAAATTCGCATATTAATATAAATAGAATTTTAATTGTGAATATACATAATAATGAGAAAATATAAAAAATATGTACGATATACTTATTTTGTCCAAAAAATGTGTAAAGAATTATGTACAAAAGGACGATTTTAGACTAATTTTTTTTTTATGAGAAATAGGTATTCAGTTTACTTCACTTGAAAAAATAGTTGTAGGTACTTTAATACCTCCAGTATACACAGAAATTCTGTGGAACAGTGTAGTTTAATAAATATGTAAATAAATGAAATTAATAAAGAAATAAATAGAATAGGTACAGTAGAACAGGAACAAATTTAAAAAAATCATAAAATAAAATTATTATTTTTTTATTAATTTGAGCTTCTATAATATATTCTGGATCCATACACCTTTTTCCCTGTGGAATATTTTTGTATATTATTTTTGGTAGTATACAATTTTTATAAAATTGTTCCAAATTTGTTGCCATTGATTTTTTTCCATAATTCTTCATCTTTCTTAATTTGTTCTACATAGAGGGTTGTTTTCACCACTATAGGTATATTACGAAATAACATATAGACTTCTTCCGGTTATATTTAACTGTCTCTGTATCTGAAAGTAAGAAAAAAATTTTACCAGATAATATTTGTTATAAAAATAGATAATTATACATTTTTACCTATTATGCTTTTGATTTACCATAATGATATATCTAGTCATATCTAGGGTGCCACAATAGTGCGATAAAGTTTAGTATAACAGCCTGTAGTAGTGATACGAAAAAAGTTACTGCTCGGATTCACATTTTATTATTATTTCCATTATTCATTATTTTCAGACCGAATTAAACGTTCAGAAAATCTTGTTTTTGGCCTGAAGATTTTGCCCTATACAACTATAACTGAAAATAATTATAAACTTTGTCACACTATTGGAACAGCCTGTATGTGCATTGCAACGACAATATGTCATGGCTAAGTAAGCGGAAAGTCCATAGTCGCATATGTAATTTTTATTTTCAAATAATCAAATACAATACCTACATATTTATTTTAATATCTATTATTTACTTGAATTTAGTACTAAGTACAACTATGCCTAGCAAATGGTAATACTTACTCTGTTAATGTTTTTTCCTTCATATAAAAAATAGTAAACTCCACAAATAAAATATTTCGCAGCCACAACGCACAAATAAAAGATAACAGCACAAAGATCCATACAAGAAATAATTACATTCGCTCCTACTCCGGTCCGAATCCATATAAGTACTAAAATGTAGAAAATAATATGAAATAAAACTTTTAGTTGGCTGCAAATATTATAAATTTGTACAACCACTTGCCATCCTCCTTTTTTTGTAAATATGTACATAATAATATGTAGAAGATAGAAAATAGAAATATTTTCTGAACAAAAAACCGGCGGCCGCAAATTGGAGTTTTTATTATTTTATTATCCTTCTCTTTTCATATTCAATTATGAGATAGCAAGAGAGTGGGATGGACGTATAGGCCGGACAACTCATTATCGTGCACGTGTGCGTGCACCTGGCATTTTCTCGTTTTTTTTAGGTGTGTTTTGCCGGAATTTGAATGAATGAATAATCGTACTATTTTTACTATAAACGTATTTCCTGTAGCGACATCTATATGAATATTGTAGTACTTTATTAGATGAAACAGGACTTCAATTTCCGTTCTTAATATAATTTGTCTATGAAAAAAATATATGTATAGATACCTATCTATATAAAAAATTTTTTTTGAGATATTATAAAAATGTTATCTATACTTTACGTATAAAAGCAAAAAAAAAATTAACTTCCCTTTTGAACATTTAGGCGATATGGATGCAAGGCCTTCTATGATTATTTTCCTTCCTCCGAAATTTGAAAACCATTTTTGAGATTTTTGTATTGAAAATTTCATATAAGAATATAAACTCATGGAAGTTATCTATTTATTACAGGAGTAGGAGGTAGATTACAAGCATGCATTCCTGTAAGGTAAATTTCTTAACAAAGTAGGTATCTATAAATTTTACCTGTGACCCCATAAATAAGGATAAAAAGTATTTAACGATCCCAAATATGCGATCTGTTCGAGAATAATAACAGTAAATACTTGGTAGTAATATCATATAGTCAGTAACACTACAATTCTAGGCATAAAAAGTAAAAAGTATGTATAAGCACATAGTTAGTAATATGTGGTATAAGTTATAACTAGGCTTAGTGCACGTGCAGAGTCTGACAGAGTCGCACGGCAGTCGGTGACCTTCACAGCTGTCTTGCGTTTTAAACTGTTAAGTTATTTACGGAACCTTGTAGCGGTTGGTGTCGCATCGATTCCTTTCTCTTTTACGTCTGCTGTAAATTGTATTCGCCGTGTGTATGTAAATAACTTTTTATAAATAGTAACATAATTTACATTAACTGGGGAAAAGTGAAGTAAAATACCAAAAGAGAAAAGAAATAGACGGGAATTATTTCAAATGTGGTTTGACAGTGATCCCGAAGGTTACAGGGACATACGTATTAACCTGTTTTGTACTGGTATGAACGCATTATAAATTCTTGTAACAATACTAAAGTGACAAGATATTTGAAGAGCCATGCCTCGTCCAGCGCTGAAGACTCTGTATTTTTCTATAAACTTACTGACGCCTTTCTTTCAAGCAATATTCCATTAAACAAACTAGAGAATCCCAAATTCCGTAATTCCGTAAATTGGAATCACATGGACTATCTCTAAATGAAAAATTTGTTATATTATTGATAATGTACAAAAAAATATATACGATATCAATAATATACGCCCAGTCAGTAGTACGATAAAAGAAAAAATACAAAGAGTGTTAAATAAAATTCAGGATACATCATTTTGGAAAAATATGAAGTTTTCATTAACCCTTTAATTTTCATTTTCGTTAAAAGCTGTATTTAACAAAGTTGTTCGAGAACTCAAGAAATGCTTAAATACGGGGTTTAGTCAGAAGAGAACAATAATCTCATTTTGCATATAAAAAGACGCCGCAATTTTTAACTAACTCTTACATATCACATAGTTATCATGGATATTTCCTTATCAATGTCAAAGTCAACATATTTATTTTTATTGACTGCACAACGAATAATTTTTATTAATAATGTTATCCATGGAGAAACGAATTTATCTTATGAAATGTTATGGAATCGGTAATGTTTCATGTCGATACATAGGTACAACACAAATTTTTAACGAAAAGTATCCAAATGTAACTGCAACTCGTAGAGCTAATTGTTCCACTGGTGATGTAAAGAATATAAGAAAGACAAAAAATAATACAATGATAACAATGCTGCTACTATTACAGACTCTGTACACAATCCAAAGATGTAACTCAGGAAAAGATCAGAAAATATAGGTCGCATATTCAAAGAATTTTAGTATACAACAAAACTTATTTTCTATCACGCGCGCTCACTATGGGACCTATAGTGTAGGGGGTTAGGTGAACGGAAAGTGCTAGATAGTACAGCAGCGTGATGTTATTTTCANTGTACAGAAGGGCCACAGGCCTGTTAAAGACAATGAGAACACTAAAAAGTCATAGAGCAAAACATCCTAGGAAACGGCTATATGAACAATTTACAAAGGATGAATTTCTAGAACACGTAACTACTCCATTGCCAAACTCAGTTGCAACTTTTATACAGTGTCAAATAACCCAGGGTACTAGAAGGCGCTACGGACGAGGATATTCTATAGATCAAAAAGTTCTGGAATTGGTTTTACCAAAGCAGAGTGGCAGAGCATATAAAACTATACAAAAATTGTTTTATATCCCATCCAGAAAAACGTTATCAACATTATTACATCATATTCCTATTGGTGCTGGTATTAACGATCCGATATTTGACAACTTGAAGGCAATTTCAGCCTCGACTTACTTTTTTCTACATGTTAATTTGTAATTCTACTTATATGATCACCTAAATAAACTCATATTACTTTATTAATTGGACTTCATGATTTTTTTTTATATGTGTAAATATAAATTGGTGACTTCTTTTTGTAGGTGCTTTGTTTATTTACTGATAATTGATTAATATATATTGTTTTGATTTTTAAACTTTAAAATACAATAATTATTTAGTGTTAACATCTAGGAAAACAAGTTTACAGATGATTGGACCAGAATAAAATTACTTTTATTTTACAGTTTTCTTGCCAATGTTTCGGTGACTGTTTCAAATCTATTTAAGAGCTAAAATACATAGGTAGTGGAAATATGTGTATATAAATATTTCTACTATGTATTGTAGCCCTGAAAAAGGTGACAAATACTCACTAAAACATTGACAGTAAAAACTGTGAACTAAAGAGTTATTTTATTCTGATCCAAGCTGTGAACTTGTTTTCCAACTGAAAAAATGCATAAAAATATAAATTATATATACACATATCTCCCCCAATAACTTATTGTGACCCCTATCTCCCCTATGTCTCAAACTCGGGCGGACTTCTCGTCAGAGGGCGCCCCATATGGCATCAAGTGGTGTAATGGGAGTTGCCTATCTATCTCTTCTATTATCTATGGTTGGCTTGTAGCGTTCACAGTGATGAGAGCTCCGTAATAAATATTAAAGAACATTGGGAAGCATTATTAGACCTAATTACAACCATAACCATACAGTCCACTCAGTCGTTAACATTGGACCTTCTCTCCGGACTAGTTCAAGCAACATACGATAAGTTTTACCACAAAATCTTCCCATTATTTTGAGACGAGCACTCCAAGAGAGACAGACAGGTTAACTCCCGACAATCTATGGTACAGCGTGGTACAGCGGCGAGCGGACACCGGGCAGCCAGCGTAAACAGCGACACGTCCCTCACCCCATCACCGTACACAAAAAACAAACGGCAATTCTTCCTGCAATTCGAGACAAGTTTGTTTACAATTTCGATGCTATTTAATGGATAGTTTAGAGATCTGAGGTATACAAATTAACGAAAGTGAGTATCCCTTTTTCTGTTTCCATTATTCCTTTCCTTTTATGGGAATTACAATGTTTCATTAACGATATACAGTACAATTTGTTGCTAGTACAATTACAATTAGTGACATTCTGTTCAATTCTTTCTCAATATTTCAAAACGTACNTGATGTTTCGAGAGCTCTTTTCAAAAACTCGAAAACTTTGAGTTACTTCTGGCAACCAACCCAGAAATTGTTCTACCTTAATATTATATTAAATTTAAAATAAAAGTTTACTTATTTTTTACAATTTCTGTATGCTTTAAGGTACTTAGTTAAAAATCGCGTCTTCTTATTTTCAAAATGTGATTATTTTTCTTCTTTGATTAAACCCCGTATTTAGGAATTTCTTGAGTTCTCGAACAACTTTGTTAAATACCGTTTTTAATGAAAACAAACATTAAAGGTACTTTTCTTTGAGAAAATTTCAATTTTGAAAATTTTTGGACGCCCTGTATGTTTCATTACATATTTAATTACTGTCCAAAACTTTTTATCAAGAATAACTTTTTCTCGGAAAATCAACATTAAACAATTTTACAAAAATGCGGTACCCCATATGGAACAACCAACAGGGTGTTATTATTACCTACAGGTAATAAGATTTTTAATATTTAATGTCATTCTGGCAAACAAATAATTTTATTTAGTTTGTACCACGTACCAAGGCAACTGGACTCTTTTACTCAGTTTGAATTTCCATTATACAGAGCTTCATAAATGTTTACAAGCCACGCGACAACGAAAATCCCTAAATCTTGGCGTCACCAATATTAATTATGGGTTTACAATGAACAATAACAAACCGTTAAGTGTCTACGCTCGAGATAATGCGATAACTGATTGGTCGAATAGAATCTCATGAAAAATTACACCAATCACAGACAGTGAAACAAAATGTTGTGTTTCAATGTAATCTTTATCTTATTGATTCAATAATTTTTATTTATACCGAAATTTAATTGCCAACGTGAAGTAAACAAAATTACTGTCAAACAAAATTACTGGTCACGTGATTTATCGCTTATTCTTATTTCCCTATCATGTTTTCTATATTAGCAACCAAGTATGGTATGTACGTACTTAGTACGTACAAATGTTAGAATTGAAACTATGTATTTAAACTTAATCCTAATACATATATTATGTTATATAAGTTTAAAGAAATCGTTTATTTATATACTTTTAGACATATCGTGGGGAGAGGCGTACTCAGAGTGCTGCCGAAGCCATAGACAAGAATGGGGTAATGTTTTTCGGTTTGATGAGTGACGTGAAAATTGCGTGCTGGAACAGCAAAGGAGAATATGGGGACCGCTTGTATTCAGACATAGTCGCCTCCGATCCTGTCACGCTTCAGTTTGCAAGTGGAGTAAAGGTAAGTAAGATGTTGCGAAATATTTAATGTATAAAGTTCGTTAACATGTGAGCTATTCATTATTTATTCAGTGCAAATAAGAAATCATTTACACGTCACATTTCGCAAGAGATTATTAAAAATTTCCATTTGAATATCACCATTACCTACATAGTTTTCAAAATTAGGAAATTTGTTTGTTTTCATTTGTTTGCATTATGGATGTTTCAAATTTCTTCAAAAATTTTTAAGAATTTCCGGAAACATACTTAAAGTTAAATGTATTTCAGAATTAATTTGATATGCTCATAATTTAAATCCTGGTGGTTGGAATCATTTTCGAAATGTTACTTTATAATTAGGTACTAAATTTATATTTGCAAGCACTTCAAAAAAAAACTGAAATAATACTAGAGCTACTAGTTTATCAAAAGAGGTTTATAGGATTTTTTGTAAAAACATTGTTTTGTCTATTTATTTTTTTTATTTATTGGATACCTATACATATTACCTATGAAAAAAAATATTAATGAACTAAACCATTGCACCAAAGTCAAGGGTCACTTTTATGAGAATAGTTTTGTCTAATGCAAAATGAGGCACTGAAAAAACCAGACAAACACAAAATATAAAACACACATCACTATATACTGCGCATTACAAAATTTGATATTTCGAAAATTAGTCTGTTTTCGTATTTTTGAGCTGATGATAACTACTTTCCGTTTTTAGTTATTTTTGACAGTTTAAATTTGTTTGTTTTTGCCTGCTTCCATAGTCAGAGATATGAGATGATGTTTGTACTTACTTCATTTTTTAGTATTCGTAGCCAACAAGAATCCAAGCTCACACAGAAATTTGAAACACATCTTTCACCGCTTAATTATTCTCCGTTTTTTTTTTTAATTTTCTTTGCCGTGTTATTTTCCTACTCCAAAATTTTGGCAGATACCAATTGGATAATATGACTGTGTATTTTGTATTTGCCACATTTATTATGCCACAAACAAGTCATTTCAGACAATACAGGGTGTTAATGAACTTAAGTCAAATATTTTTGCCACATGTCAATTATGTCAAAATGAAGTAAATACACGGATTTGTGTTGAGTAAAATGTAATTTTAAAATCTGACTTACCTCAACATTGCAAGGAGCCACCTTTTGAGAAGTGCCGATTTTCAAAGAAATTGTTAGATGTATCCACCATTTTCTTGCACATAAGCTTCAGCGCGACGTATCCAATTCGCTCGCACCCGTTGCAACATTGCCACGTCCTCTCGAATCGTATTACAAGCTTCGGCAATACGATGTCGCAGTTAGTCAGTTTCACGAACTTCCGTGGAATACACAACACTTTTCACATATCCCCACAAAAAGAAGTCTAAAGGGGTGAGGTACCAGGGGGGGGGGGGCATTTAACTAGGCTGCCGCGGCCTGTCGAGCAATCGGGAAATGTTTAGAAAATCGCGCACTCTCGGGAAAGAATGAGCGGAGGCTTCGTCATATTTTGCCGAACATTTAATGGCACATCTTCCAATAACTCTGGAAAGTTGATTTTGCAAAAAATCTAGATATGTAGCACCGCCTAGGCAATTCAAAAGGTTATTTAAAGTGTCATTAACGATACCGGCCCACATATACACTGAAAACTGTTGCTGAAAGGCACCGCGCCGTATTTCGTGTGGATTTTCAATAGTCCAGTGGTGAGTGTTGTGGATGTTACGTACACCATTTCGACTGAAACATGCTTCACCTGTAACAAGTATTTGCGCTTACACCAGGAAAATTAGCGAAAATAAAAGAGAAACTCGAAAAAAGTCCTATCCGCTAGTTTATTTTAAAATTGTCTAAAGGAACATAATACAAGACATCTCTCGTCTCGTGAGTCAAAAACTTTTATTAGCTAACTTTTCTATTTAAACAAATAAGTGAGGAAAACAGTTTTTTCACTTTGCAGGGAAAACCATCAATTTCAGCGAAAAGTGACTCTCAGACAGCTTATAGGGAGTAAAATTATCTACAAAATGAGACTGGTTAAATTAAAATCGGTTAATAAACAAAAAAGTTATTGCAAAAAAACAAGAAAAGTGCCCATTTTTT